TTTATACAATTCATACGTGTCTCACCATTTATTTTCTACTCATTATCACAACAAAATAACGCATATTTCTTCTTTGGCCGTTTTCCAAAGGGCCAAAACTTGTCACAAGGCCTTGAGCTGGACGTGTATGCTTAACCAATCACGTTTATCATTGATTGTATTTAAATTGTCGCTGAGTTTGATCGATAGACCTCCCTGTAGATCAATCAGGGCCGTTGTGCATGAGACGTCTCCATATACCAACGGCAAAAGGTGCGGAGGCAGGAAAAAGGTACATCAGCGTCCCATCCGCAATCAATAAAGCTGCATGTTGTTCATCTAAAATAATAGCTGAAAGGTTGAACGGCGCAAGGCACTAAGGAGCCATTATCAAATAGGACTGGCTCAGCATTTGTCCACCTCCCGAAAAAGGAGAAGGCAGTCTTTGTGACACGGGACGAAAGCCAAAGAGAGGTTCATCCAAGCTCAGGGGTGACTTTGGTCTAAGCAACGTCAGGGAATTTCTTTATGCATTGAAATAAGTTGTGCGAGATGATATCCAGGCTGCTTGGGCCATGGCTATAGTGGAACACAGGGATTTGTCAGGTGCTTTGATCTGCTATGTAAAAAAAAAAAGAAAAAAGGGAAAGATAATGAGCTTGACCTCACCTGAAAACAGGGGAAGCTGAATCATGAGAATATTCAAAGGGACTTTAGCTGTACTATAGGTCTAGATTGAGATCGCAATGCTGACATGACATGTACAGGCTCTGCAGTTCTCATTGTACAGTCTGACAGTAGCAGGAAGGAAAGATCTGCAGAACCTCTCCCTCACACAACGAGGTGAATAAGTCTGTCACTGAAGCTACTCTCCAGAGCAGCCAGAGTGTCCTGCAGGGGGTGAGGTCATGGTCCAGCAAAGATGTTAGTTTGTCCAGGACCCTCCTGCTCCCACCTGTGTCCATTATAGAGACAAATAATTGCAAAGATTTTACTATGCTGTTTGACTTATTTTTTTTTTACCATTCTGCATCACTGTCTCATTTATGCACTACACTACATAGGGTTACTGCCTACTCTGTAAAAAAATACTCTGCTTTTAAGCGGCAACATCTTTTTTGAGCAAAATGGGTTTTATCAGTTCTCAGTAACTTGTCAGTCCATCTAAACTAATTATATGGTGATATTGTGTCTCTTGCTTTGTGGAGATCTGTTCAGACTGTTCTTGTGTCTCACTCTAGTAATAAGAATAAGAAAAGCTAAAATTAGTGTTACTGAAACTGCCTTGAAACATAAAACTTCAAATCTATTTTGTCCTTTTGTCAGTGAGGCGCTGGTCTCTCTCTGGTCAGTGAAGTCAAAGTCAATGTCATGACATATTCTTTACTCTGTAAATTGATTGTTGATTATTCTATAATTCAGGATGTGCAGATGTAGCTCTTTTGTGTGCCTTGGCCTATTTTCATTATAATATGTAAATTTTGATTGTAATTAACTTTGGGGGTGCGGTGACAATAAGCTTTTTGCTTCAGCCCACTCTTTTTGTGCAGTATCAATACTGTTCAAATAAAAGAAATAAGAAAAAAAAAAACTGTCGCAAAATAATACAGAAAAATACTCCTGTTCATGTATACAAAATAAAGTTCCTTATTCTCCAGACCACTCTTCTTCATGTCAAATAGTGAGTCTCAAAAATACGAATAAAGATTTCAGTTATGGATTTAATTTTGTTTCTTAAAAGACCAAGAAAGACAAAGTAAGACAACTGGGCAAAATTATACATATTTTGATTCATTGAAAAGTGGGGCTTGCAGGCATTCAACATGAGTTAGTACTTTATGGAATCACAGCTGTAAGTCTTTTGTTCTTTGACCCTGTAAGCTTTGCAGTTTTTCCCTTTCCTCTTAACAAAAAAAAAAAAACTGCTCCGTCAGATTAGATGGAGAGTAATAATGAAGATTATACATTGGATTTGGGTCTGGACAGTGTGTATGTAGGCGTCGCTGACTCCTCTAAACATGTAGAATAGAAAGGTCGGTGATGGCGTGGCAGTAGCACTTCTGTCATCACTGTGCGTCATGTGTCAAAGTGAACGGAAAAACACAGCAATCATACAGTAAAGCGCTTTTAATGTGCTATATAAATAAATATTACGCGCAATACTGCTTTAATGAAAAAGTCTTTAATGACATCATGCATATGGCACAATTTCACATTCCGTCTTAGTCTCTTCCGATAACACTGGAAGTTGCTATAATGCATAAAAATATACAAAATTAAACGTAATGTGTCAAGTTTCTTCTACCTTTGTACTATTTAACAACAGTACAGTTTGGGCTTCACATTATTTCAAGCATCTTTTTTTTCTTTACATCGGACAAAAAAAAAATACATAGAAAAGAAATCAAGCAAATTGTTACAACACAAAAAAAGTTATGTCACTGAATATACATTGAATATTATAATATAGATAATAGAAATGTAACGGTTTAAAGATCACACCAGCATCATAGAGTATCCCTTCCCTTCGCTCATGATTAGGAGGCACGATATTAAAAATGGCAACTTAAAAACGCATAAAATCACAGTGACAAACATAAAAACGATTTCATATTTCAAAATAGATTTACTTTTCCTAGCTCCCTTTTTTGCTCAGAAACGTCATTGGCTCGTTGATGGTTCTTCTCACTGTTGATCATTTGTGTACGAGTTGCAGGAGTAGGGTGTTTTTGCGTCGAGATGGACTAATATTTCGTAACAATTTCAACTTTCTGTACACACACACACACACACACACACACACGAGGAGCCTCCATTACTGCAGTAGGCTGGTTACACATAGCCTGTCTCTCGCCAGACCCTTGTAGTTCCGCCATGCTCCACCAGAGGCGTTTGGCTGAACCACATGGGTCTGGTATCGACGTCATAGCGAACGCCTTCCCCAGATTATTTTTTAATCGACCAATCAGGATTGCCGGTGTTACGTGAGGTTTGCGCTGCCTTCTCAAGCTTCTCTCATGCAGCAGCGAGAGGAATCCAAGATGGTGGACGTAAAGTCCGCAAATCTTTTTAAAAGAGTAAATACGATCGAATTAAGACACGGATGTCACTTTTAATGCAATTTGAGGCGAGATGTAGATGGTTCTATGTTGATATATGTGTGTTTTAAGAGTCAAATGTTCCTGTAAAGTTTGGTTGAAGCACTGGTTCACTGTTCCTGTTTACACACTATGCAGCAGGGTTGCCAGGTTCGGTGGTTCCCGCATATTTTTTTCCAAGAGACTTGTAGGTATTAAATAAACAGAAAGACAATAAACAGAATCACGATAGCCCATTTGATTACATTACGTTTTTAGCCAAAAAATCATTGTGTTTTTTTTGGGGTATTCTCGTGGATTTTGGGTTGGAAAATCTTGCTGGGATTTGGCAACCTATGGGAGCCGTGTGCTTCAATGTGAGTGGTTGAAAGCAGACTTCATTTAAGATAACGGACAAGTGGTCTATCCAATCACATACAAGGATTTTTTTTACAAGGCCCTGCCTTCTGAAATCCAACCACTATGGCTCAGTACCAGACTCATGTGTGAAGTGCAGCGAACTACATGGGTCTGGCGAGAGTCAGGCTAGGCAACACATGCACCGTCAAAACAATTCATGAGCTTTTTCTTTGCTGAGCTGACGATCTGGGTCTAAAGACACGATAGAAGACATTTTAGTGCGGCATTCAATATTTAGAACAATTTGATATGTTATAATTTTGTGAGGAGTTGTAGCCAAAATGTCATACACCACAGATTTCAAAATGTAGAAAAATTAAAGGTTCAGGTTTTGTTCTGAAAGCTGTGGTACTTTCAAACAGCCAATGTTCTTTTTTTCTAGACTATTTCTGTTGTGACAAACATCATACTGTTGTTTCATGTTATGTACAGGAACTAAGTTAGGTACTACCTAACTAGTTTGGTTTGAGTAACTTTTATTTACTGCCTTCAAAATGTTTGTCAAATAAAACTTTATTTTAATTTCCTATTTCAAATCAAGAACTTTTTGCTAACGAACTCAGAACCTACCTCATTGTCAAAGTTCACATTTCTCGTCAAACACTTTCTCAAACCACAGCGAAATATTCTTTGAAATTACAGAAAAAAATCTCAATCTTGGTCAAAAATAATTTACACAAAATTACGTGCTTATTATTTTTTTTAAGTAAATTTAGGCACGGAAAGATGCATTTTGTGTTTTTAAATGATACAAACACAAGGGATTTTCCGATACCGTTTTTTTTTTTTGGCATTTGATACAATACTTGGCCCCATAGGTGGCGCTGCTACAAATACTACATAATAAGTCATTATAACATAAATACACCAGATATAAATAAGATATTAAAATCCTTTCATTTTAAATTCCAGATAAAAAAATGGTTTTAAAAAGAGATTTTAAAGCATCTAAAGCGATCTATCAGAACATTCATATTTAGCTCAATTTCACGTGTTCGTCAAATTTATCTAACAATTTAGGTTTTTAGCATGGCCTGTTGAAGACCTCGTTCCAAAATCCTTTAAAGAAAATAAAACTGGTTAAATTTCTATTTTTTTGTTTCAATTGAACTCAAGATCTCTCAAAGAATAGGCCACTTCTTTTACGCCGTTTCTCGTGATCATTTACAAATAGCACAACCAAAGAACACAACTCCCACTATCTCATAAAAACCAAACCAAAAGTCACATCTTTCACACAAACACGACACTGAAACCTGTGCAATGTTGTCGTTTGGGAGCGAGTGGGAATTCATAATAAGCAAGAAATCTATGAAAAGCAAACTTAAAGTCGGTTCTGTCCTGTTCACTCCGCCCAAAACGGTAAGGCATTGATAGTTCTCGTCTCAAGAAGGCACGCTCCATGCTTCAGTCCCAAAAAATGATCTGATGTTTAGCAGCACTTCATCTCAAGAGGAAATGACACTTTGTGAGTTTATCTGCACGTTGTACGGCCCAGTGTGCGCTGGACGGGGGTCTGTGTGATTAAGAGTGCTTGATGGTGTATTTGCCTTTCTGCAGCTGCGACACGTACAGCTTCGACTTGGTCCCGTCTAGACGCTTGAACCAAACCTCGTCGTTGTTGATGGTGGTGATGACGGCGCTGGAATCAAACGTTTGTTACAATTAGTTCATTAGTTGATACAAAAATCAAATTAAAATATTGTATTGTTGAAATACAGAATAGGGCTTGAAATATATTTCTTTTATCTACCGTGCTTTCTGGACTGTATAGGCACAGCTGCATTTTAAAAGAAAGTACATTTTATCCACATGTGGCTGCACTTGAATATAAGGATGCAGGATTTCATGTTTTAATGTAGCAAATAGAAAACAGTTTTAACTGATCACACCGTGACTTAATGACGAGGTGTTTTGATTCCATGCTTTTAATGTTTGACTTTGAATTCAATTTATGTTGTGCTTAATTTTTGTTAGCAGGAACTCACCGATTTAATTCTCATGTCGGCCCGGGCCTTTCTGTGTCGTCCGCACGCTTCTCTGGATGCAAAAGTGTAAGTGTTTTTCTTTGTTGAAAGCTTTGAAGTTTATCATTTGCATCTGTGGATTTATTTTTTATGGATATTATGGTCATTCATTACTTTTATTTAACACGAGTTTGGAGATTACTTTTTAGTCGTTTTTTTCTGAACAGGAGTTCAGTTACTAGGTGAAGAAGGCTTGTAATTGTACACTGATTTATCAACACTTATGGACATTGCTCATCTGCCCTTTACGGACCAGTACAAGGTGTTTTCTGTTCTATTTATTGTGTTTGAACAGTTTGATTCCCTGATCTGTGTTGGCAAATTCAACTGTTGTGTTGAACGAATTGAATTGATGGTCTTAGGCCTATTTAACCATTTCTAACGTGCTGGGGTCAAATTTACAATACATTTAATCATTTGTTGTTTTATAGAGATAATGCAATTTAACCTGCCATAGTAATGTTATTAACCTATTTTTATCAATGCTGCATGTTCATAAAACTAATCATCTCGGGGGCCACTGAAATGGTCGTGGCCGTACAGGTGCCCTTTGTAGCATTGCAGAGGACAGAGTAATCCTTCCATCTTATTCCATATTGCTTATTAATGACCGAGTTTGAAATCCTGGATGTAAAGTGGCTCTCTCTCGTCGAGCACATGCCTGGTGGGGTAGTCGTCCTTGCGGTTGATGCAGATGGCCTGTCCTCTGCCGTACCACTGGTTGTCATAGAACAGCCTGCCGTCCTCCGAGCGCGCCACATGGTGATGTCTGTCAGCCTTCGCCGCGGGGACTATGCAAAGACAAACATCCGCAGGTCAAGAGCAGGAGAAACCGGCACAATCAGGGGGATGCAAAAACTAAAAAAAAACTCGCTCAAGAGTTAGAGGAAAAAAGTGGACAAGAGGAGATCTATGTGGGATCAATAACCACCATTAGTCTGAATGCAGAGAGTGTCCAGCGTTGGATCGATGCTGACTTTTTACCGCAGAGAGAAACAAAAACTTACCGCTGTCCACCTTTACTCTGTGCGGACCCAGCGACGCCACGGCCTGAGGAGAGAGCACAACGATGAGAGGACTTGTGCGTTTACGTTTAAACTGCGGACAGTGAAATGCCGCAGGAGGCTTGTTCATTTGGAGCTAAACTCAGACGTTTGAACCAAGCAGGGGAGAAGCTACACATGGGAGCGTTCCAGGTCAATCACTGATAGAGATGATAAACTGTGCTATATGGAGGTTTGGAGACATAGAAGGAGAAAATGTGCTGGACAGAACACTCATGGCCACTTAATAAAGCTTCCCGTTATTTTCACTCGACTTCCTATCACATCTCACGATCGCAGTGGGCCGTGTCTGCACCTCACAGCGGTTGCGTAGTGACTCTAAAAAGCAAATATTGAGTCACAACACGTTTGGAAATAGGTTGACAGAAGCCCATTGTGTTTTAAAAGGAAATGCATGTCAAAATCTACCCCCCCCCCCACGGTGCACAATGCAGCTTTTGTACAGGTCACTACTAGAACAGCAGAAACTAATAACTTGTTTATCAGAGCGCAAACTGTGCTGTTAATTACATTTCCAATATTAGTTATTACTATAGTACGTTTTGCTCAAAGCTGAAGCAAAACAGAAAGTGCATCTCAAACACACTTCTGTGCAACAAATCTGGACGCCAACTATCGCACATTAGAACATTAGTACAAATACATGTTTCTATTGTTATGCATTTTATTCTTGAATGAGTCTATCCTCTGTGTGGACAGTCTGTGGCTGTGTGTGCCTGGGACAAAATGGTGTGTGTGTGTTAACCTCTGTGGCACATTTAAAAGAAAGAAACAAAATTGTGTGTCATTACAGTATTTGCAAAATAATGTAAATTAAACTCTCTGCAACCATATAAGGTGAATTTAAGTATTACTATTATTTTCTACGTTTATTTAAATAGCATTGAAACTTGTTTTTGTTGTGTACAAGTCTTTCCATGGCCTCGCACCAAAGTACATCTGTGACATGTTAGTGCCATATGAACCAACTCTGACTCTGAGGAGCACAGGGACTGGCCTCCTGCTGGTGCCTAGAGTCAGATCTGAAATGCAGCCTCTCCATGTTTAGTCCTAACAGTCTTTCTTTAAATGTGAGACAGGCCTTTATGCTGACCATGTTCAAAACCAAGTTGAAATATCCGTTCCACTGTGCACACAACTCATTCTATTTTTTAACTCCCCATTTTAATAATACTTTTAGGTCCAATACCTTTATGCTGCACTATTTTGATATGAAATCGTTGTACATGTATGTATTTGTATTTCCTTTGTGATCTGTTTTTTTAGGCAATTTGATTTTAACTTCTATTGTGAAGCAGTTGAAAATGCATTTCCGATTAAGCTATACAAATACATATTGACTGATTCATGGATCAAATACGAACAATCGAACAATCACCTTTCTTATCGCGGTCCAGTCTTCAAGTATGTCCAGGTCTTGCAGCATGTAAACAATATACGGGCGTGATGAAATGAGGCTGAGGAAAACCATATGGAGAGTGCAAGACAGAACCGCAAGCAAGCAAGCAAGCAAGCAAGCAAGCAAGCAAGGAAGGAAGAAAGGAAGGAAGAAAGGAAACTACATAACTTCGAACGCCAAAAAAGGATATCAGAGACGACCACGGGCTTCTTCTTTTTGACGGGGCAGAACGGGTCCTTCTTCTTGTTCTTCCGTGAGTGCAGGCCATCGCTCCACAGCTCTGGAAAGCAAAGGGGTGATGTTTTGAGGGGGCTTTGAAGTGATGCTATGCGGCGGTGGGAGCCGGCTGCTACCTGAGGTTATGTCAATACTGTGTCTGTCTTCCTCCAGTCGTCTGATCTTCTCCTCCAGCTCGCTCTGCACCGTGTCAAACAGCAGCATCTTCTCGCTCTGGGCAAAGAAAAGGCAAAAAAAAAAACATGTCCGCCGGAGTTATGGGCCATCGACTGAACTTCTATTTTCGAAACACGTACGTGCACGAGAGAGGCTGTTGTTGCAATGATGTGATTCATTGAAGTTTCCGTATTTAAAAGAGAAGCGTGATAAAAAGCAGTGGAAATGTATGGGACGGTGCGATGGGAGAGGTTAAAGCCAGGGCGCCTAACTTTCGAACTAACAAATTGATCCATGTGTTAAAAAAGAAATAAATAAAACACAAATTTGGCAAATTCAATGCTCTTGAAAACAGTTTGGTTCTAGTTTTTGCATGCATACGTTTATTTGCCATCTTTCACTAAGCTAATCAACTCTCAGCCCAACGTGCCAAAGAGTCTAATATTTGTGTTTATACGGCACTCTTTCTGTTCTGAGACAAACAGAAGGTATTATTTACAAAACCAAAAAGTGAGGTACCCCAGCTTTAATTTGTAGTTAATTATTTTGTCCAGTTGATTTTCCAGTATAAATAATTTAAAGTAGTTCAGCCTAAATAAACATATTTTATTCAAAACACAGAAAAAGCAATTAGAAAGTCTAAAAACCCCTGGTCCACAAGATTAAAAAAAAATACCCTAAACTGTCTTTGAAAAATATTTTAAATTTCTTTTAAAAATACGGTATCATGTTTCTTTCATGGATATTTGTCATTAGAACAAGCATCTAGAATTTTGTTTCATTCTTTCCATGTCAGAAAATGCTTACTTTTCATACTTTACAAAAAATTCTTGTTTCATCTTCCAACGACTTTAACACACTAAAAATATGTTCTACAATTAAGGGAAAAAATAGTAAATCAATAATTGAATAGATCATATTTTAAAACAATTTTGCAATGTGTTTCTATTTCGCAAACAGGTACTACTTTAGTTTAAACCTCTGAACGGTTAATGTGGCAGATTATTCATTTATAAAAACGGAAACATTTGATGATATACACTTTCAAACAATAACATTTGTCAAACAGAAATAATTGCAATTGCAAAATTGTGCAGCCGTAACGGAGTCTAAAGAAGCGAGCAAAGGTCATCTGAAAGGCTGCTTTTGTGGACCTTCCAGCAGAAATCTTCAAAAGAACCACTGAGACTCTAACCACATGATGCATGACCCATTTGTGGAGTGTGGGGTAAATGTTTCTGCAGATAATTTATTTTTTTCAGATATAAGAATCTATCCGGCTAATCTCATCTACTCGAGTACATCTATGATGAAAAGGGTCTTAAAGCGCAGCTGTGGAGGAGGCGTCGAGTAGTAGTTGGTTCCTTACCTCCCAGTGCTGGCAGGCGGCCTGGATCTCACACTCGTATTTGTTCTTGACCGATTCCAAACACAACTCCCTGTAGATTCCTGCACAAAAAAGACAACACTGATCAGTTATTACATTCCACAGAGCGTGAAGTATCACAAAGGAGTTGTTATGATCGAGCCTGACAGACGCTCGTTTTCACATGCAGACACTGTACTCCAGCAAAGGAGAAACTACTACACCAAAAAAACCTGGAAACTTATAGAAAAGTCGCAAGAGGAGAGGCCGATGGTGGCGGAGGAAACATCCGAGAGGGCAGTAGAGAGCAGTGAGGGTGAGGTTGGGGTGAGGGCAGTGAGGGCAGGTTGGGGATCCTGCCAAGCCCATCACTTGAACCCGGGTTACGGCTCGTACACACCACACACGTAGCAGTGTGACACATCTGTGTACACACCGGGCAGAGCACGCAGGGACTCGGCTGCTGAGGCTGTGTCCGTGTCGTCTATGGAGGAGTGTAGAGGACAGTACGGGCCAGAGAACAAACACAAGCTTGACATTTCACGCGACGGGAAGGGCTGTTGAGGCGAGGGGGTCAGGGGGTCAGCAGCGCATTTATTATGTGGGTTGCATGCTTAAAACATTGGGAACCCTGATCTAAAGCATGCATGTAGGCCTTGCTCAATATAATAGCAAGGAAGGATAAGGAAGGAGGGTTGCAATTCTGTTTAAAAAAAAACTCAATTGTTTCAGGCCCCAAAATTATAGATATACCCGTTTTTCTGACTATAAAAGATACATTTGATTATGCGGTACAGATGTTACAAATGTACAGATGCACTTGGATGAATATTACATGGTGGATTATGTGTATGAGTCTGGTGTGTGTGTGAATGGTTTGTGGTGGTCGGTGGGGCCGATGGCACATAACGGTTGCTTCGCTTCTGTCAGTGTGCCCCGGGGCAGCTGTGGCTACAGTAGTAGTTTATAACCACCGAGTGAAAGAATAATGACACATGTAAAGCGTCTGAGTGTCCAAAAAAGCGCTATATAAAACCAATGCATTATTATTATTATTATTATTATTATTATTATTATTATGCGAGTGCTGATTGGTACCTGCCACTTTAGTCCGGATCTGCATGTTCTCTTGCAGGTTGGCTAATGGCTCCAGGTATTCCTGAGCACAGCCAGCCATCACCTCCTGCAGCTTAATGTCCACCTGGCTCAGACGCTCCTTGTAAAGCCTGGACACCACACGTCATCACACTTATTCACAGACAAGAATTTTCCATCATTAACCTTTTCAATCACACTTAAATAGTTTTATAAATGGCAAAGGAAATCAGGCACCATTACATCAAATGGGGGTCTATGATGATGATGGCCATGAGACGCTGGTCTTTGGCGTGGCCTCATCAGGAAGTCATTTATTTTATTCAGTTATACAGAATCAAAAGGGAGTGGCCCTTCTCAGAATAAATGTTTTTCTTGTTTGTACTTCTTTTGTCGCAAATTAAAACAAATAATAATCTAATTTTGAAAGGTTATGTTCTATAGTATTGCTGCTTATTGTTCATTATTCTGAAAGTCATGGACAAAGCAAATAGTGAATAAACCAATTTATTTCAGATTTCCACTGTGATTTTGCTGTCATTTGTTTTAAAATGGTGACGCCACAGGTTTGTGAAAGCCAGACTCCATCAGACCTCAGTGTGCACACTGTGAATTAACATCAAAGCTGTAGAAATCTGACTTTTGGCTCTTTGGAATGTTTTGACGTCACACGAACGCAACTGAGTTCTAAGTTTTGGTCATTTGAAAGTTGCATGGGAATACAACCTGTTAACATTTTACATAATGTAAACAGGTTGTATTTTGACATTTTACATAATGTTGACTATGCAAATGTACGTTTATATATTCATGGGCCCATGTTTCTACAGGCTCGGTTGCATGTTGCTCTGTGACAACCCCGCTGGCAGCTCATGCGGGAGTGGGAGGACTACTCACTGCTCTTTCAAGTCTGTGAACTGCTTTTCTAATGTGGTCATCTCATCCAGACACTCCATCCTCCGCCTCTCGCAGTCTTCATCGTCCATTTCTGAACAGATAAGAATACAAACAACTTCCAATTAAAAAAATCTGTAAACAAGATTAATTATTTGTGTGAGAGCATTGACACTTTCGCCTTGTCATTTGTACATCATAACCACAAATTATCCAATAATTGTCAACAAACTAATATCTGAAGTAGTCACGAACCTGAAGTGTCTCCATCTTCAGACACAGAGGAGCTGACCGTGTCCTCCTCGTCCGTGCTGCTGCCGTCTTGTTCGGGATAATCCACCTCCATTTCGTCTTGATTATTGTCTTTCTTGTCCCGGGAGTGGACGGGCATGGCCAAAGTGCAGATCCCTCTGTGTTGAAAAGGTGACACGCTTTTCAAAGTGTATTAAACGCAGGTTAAATGGAAAATGTAGCACATACGGCTAACCGGTTAGCTTAACGACAGCTGGATGTGCAGACATGATGGCGACAGCGGACCAATCAGAGGCGCTCTTACTCAGACCGATGACTAACACAAGCCAATCAGACGTGAAGACAGGTTACTAGACAACGAAACACAGCGGACACGATGGGAGTGATCAAACAAACTTAGCTTATTGTATGCCACAACAAGTAAACAACAAGTAAATACAATCCTAATTTACTGCATTGTCGGTCGATTGAGAAGAAAATTGCCTCACAATAAAACAATTTTTTGGCAAAAAAGTGGCTGAAAAATGCAATTCACCTGAATCCCATGTGAGGGCGACAAAGGCTTACATTTGATTCAAACTGCAGCATGGCCCTTGATATAATATATTGTTCCTTCTCCTGGCAAGAACAATTTACATACGTTTGAATGTGTTCATAGGAACAATGGCTGTTATGTAAATCAATGCATTCTAATCCAAACAATGTAAGCGATGATAAATATTGAGGCCCAAAAATACTTTTCCAGATGATACAGTAATTATCGTGACAGTACAAATTGCCCAGTATTATTATATTTCTTTGTATATTGTTATTTTTTGAACCATTTACTCTTTTACCTTGGTAGATCACACACGCTCAAATTTTGTGATCATCAACACATGAAAATTATTGAGAATGCTTTCATTCTAATAAAGTACAACAAATATATACTGTAATTCTGAGTAAAGCCAGGGCGGCTCTATAGAATAGTTGATGTGCATTAACAAAAATAATAGAGACATGTTGTACCCATTACATAAAACAGTTTTGCAATCACCGACACTCCCCTTTTCAGTTACTTTGGATTTGAGGATGATGCTAAATTGTTATTCCAATTACTAATTTATTTTTAGTTCCTTTGAAGCTTTAGTAGTAAAGTACTTTTTAAACTCTATACTTGCATGGGAACATGACAGAAGTGTGTGTCACAATGTAATGTGGTGTGTAGCAGTCGAGCCGTGGGAATGACAAGAGCCAGTGCTACCTTCTCCTCGCCCACCATTCCCCGAATAAATCTGCATCATGTGTGAATCTGAGCTGAGACTCTGACAAGAGATGAGTCCTCAAATGGAAAGTTGTGATGAAAGTATTTCAAAACTAGTGTTAAATTGATTGAGTCACATCGGCTCAAACTACTTTTCTCACTTAACGCTTGGGAAAAGAGCTTTGGGGGGCTCTGAGTAGAGCTGATGCTCCTCCACTTTGAGAGGAGCTAGCTGAGGTTGCACAGGCATCTTTTTTGAGTGGTTAGCGCTTGCTTCTTCACACGAAGGTCCTGGGTTCTGACCCCGGTCGCAATCTTAGTAGAGTAGAGTTTGCATCTCTCTTTGTAGGTTTCCTCTGGGTGCTCCGGTTTCCCCTAGCCTGGCCTTAGCCATCCGTAAACTGCGGTCAATAATCATTTCCCTGCATGTGGTACAACCAGACTAGGTTTCCCCATCACTGGAAAGCATGTATAGCCCCCTTGCCATTTCTGGGACCAGGCCTCCTGAAAAAAAGATCCTGAAATCTCAGCTGGACTTATACTTGCATCAGTGGGGAAATCTGATGATCTTTGTCATACATGTTAGATACTGTTTTTATTTTGTTATGTAATTGCATACTGTGTTCAGATATTATACATTTTTTTTATTTCAGAACAATTCAAACCAAGGTCATCTCTCTCTCAGTCAGCAGTTCTTTAAGTCTGACTCACAATCTCCCTTCATGTGGAGAAATACCTACATAAGAATCTGTGGTGAGTGAGAGAGCAGAGGATGTAAATGTTGTGTCATTGGGCAGCCCATACTTCCATAACCTACCCCTGTTGTATTTGTTGAGAGAGCTAAGTGATGACAAAACATTACCCTCTCTGCTTTATCACTCACCACAGTTCTTTCAGTAGGAATATTCCACAATTTCGGGAGCTTGAGCGTCCAGCATTACCCGCCATAGAGTGCGAGAGAGCAGCTGTATAGAATTGTCTGCACTCACAAAACAAGTACTTCAAGCCCCCCTGTCTGCCATACAACCACTAAAAACAGTCTCTAATGTTGACCAACGATCATAGATTTCCAACTGAAGCAAGTATACGTCAGCTGAGCATTACATGATATGTTTCAGGGAGGCTGGTCCCGAAATTGCCCCGGTTGCCCACTCAGATACCCAGATATTGGGGCCCTAGTAGGTTGTCCAAAAGCCGGGATGATTATTGAACCGCCGAATCCGGTTGGTAAGTCCAGGGAGGGGCAAAACGGCAGCACAGCGGAAACTACAAGAGAGATGAAAACATACTTATAAGATTGCGGGACGGGTCCAGAACCCAGGCCCTACGTGTGAAGAAGAAGCGCTAACCACTCACAAAAGCTGCCTTGTGCCACTCAGCTAGTCTACTCACAAGTGGCGGATATCAGCCTACACCGCTACCCCCCCCAGAATGATACACAGCGTTAAGAGCGAAAAGTAGCTTGAGCGATGGACTCCCCCCCCCCCCCAATCAATTGCAAAATCGTTTTGAAAATACTTTCATCCACCTTAAATGAGGATCTCAATGAGCGACATAAGGTAGCAAACCCAGAAGCAGCTTTATTGGGGAATGGTGGGCGAGGAGAAGGTAGCATTGGCTCTTGACCTTGGCTAGATTCCCCCCATCCAAATGTGCACCCACAATAGTCCTGCTTCCCAAGCAGTATCGCGTTAAACGTATATACAACCAGCATCAAAGGAACTAAAAATACAATAGTACTAGGAATACCAATATTAGCATAAAAACACTCCCACATAAATGAAAGGGGTGTGTCGGTTAATTGCAACTGTTTAAAGTAATGGGTACAACTGTCACTATATTATATGATTCTGAATCAAATCTTTATAGAGGCCTGGCTTTATATCCGAATTCGTTCTATATATGTTGTACTTAATTAGCATGCACGCCATTTCATACATTACTTGTGTAATGCAGAATCACCAAAAATGCGCGTGTGAGATCATTTACAGGTAAGCGTTAAAAGGGTCACAAAATAACCATAACAAAGACTATAAATAATCCTGGGCTTTGAATACCCCGAGAAAAACAGATCACATCTGCACAGTATATTATTTGGGCCTCGCATAATATCGTAACATTAGTTTGGATTAGGAAATGCTATGAATTACTAACAAGCATAGTTTATGAAAATTCAACGACTGTACATAATTCAAGCCAGGGAGAAGGCACAATAATAATAATATCAAGTGCCATGTCGCCGATATGAATCAAATGATAAGCCGTGTAGACGCCCTCCCAAGGGATAACAGGTGAAATGCCTTTTTAGCACACTTTTTTGCTCACAAATTTATATATTATTGCGGCTTTATATTTCTCAATGCCGCACAAGCCAAGTAAATTAGGCATGTATATAATTGTTGATTTACATTGTTAGAGGCATTACCATACGCAAGATTGTTGATCACTCCCATCGAGTCGGTGTTGTAGTTACGACTGAGTCATACGTCTGATTGTTGTGATCGTCATCGGTAGAGTAAGAGGCCTCTGCATGGTCCGCAGATGCCATGTCAGCACCTCATCTGTCGTTAAGTAACGGATAGCCGTACTGAGTCTACAATATACCCTTATCACCTGGTATTAATACACTTAGACCCGGAGCCCCTTATCACACCGCGGGCACTTCCTAAGCATGCCGTCCATCGGACAAGAAAGACAATATCACGACGAATGGATGTGGATTCTCCGAACAAGACGTCAGCCGCCGTGGACGGGAGGCCCGTCACTCCTCTTGTGTTGAAGAAGGCGAATTCAGGTTCGCTGCATCAAACAGCTACTTAAGATTTAGAAGCACCCTTCAAGGATCAATAGTGTTTTCTGATTCCTCAAATGCCCCAAGTCCCGCCCGAGTCACCTGATACCCACCACTACTGATTTGTTTCCGAAATAAATTACAGGAAGTTGTATGTATTTTTAATGTTCGAACTGGACCGATGCCTGATGCGAGCGGGCGGAGGCGGCGAGATGGATGAGATGCCCACATTAGCACCAGTACCCCGCTGCAAAGATCGTGAGTAGTCCCTCCCACTCCGCCAGAGCTGCCAGGGGTTGTCACAGCGCAACAGCAACCGAGCAGTAGAACCAGGGCCATTAAAATTAAGTCACCTATGTCGTACCAATAAAGACATCCTGACCCCAACATGTTTCGACTTAAAGTTATCTGTTAAGCAGGTAGACTACCAGCCCTAACCCCGCCCTCCACAAGAAACAGTTGAGATCGATGTGACGTCCACAATACCCACGCGCACAAGTCAGATAAACCAGCAATGCTGATAAACCCGTGTGACTGAGGTCTGATGGCGTCTGGCATAACAACAAACCCAGAGGGTACACTTTTAAAAATGACAGCCAAATCCCGTGGACATATCTGCACTACTTGTTTTATTCACTCTTATGTTTGTCCAGACTTTCAGCTTATGACAATACGCAGCACTACTCATAGCAATAACTTTCAAAAATACGATCATATATGAAATTCCTTATGCGCTCAAAGAGTACAACCCACAGCAACACATAGCTTACGTGAGAAGGGCCACTCCCTTTTGATCTAAAAAATGAATAAAATAACAGCCAATGAAGCGGCCCCCGCCCCCCAGCCCCGCGTTCATGGCCATACATCATAACGACCCAATTGATGTCCTAGGTGCTGCATATCCAAGCCTTTATAAAAATTAACAGTTAGCTAGCCAAGGTAACTGCTGGGCACCATAGAAGTGCAATCGAGATAGATGAGTTTGTTGTCCGGCTATACACGGCGGTTGAGCAGGTGGACTTTAATCTGCGGCGGATATGGTGCATGAGACAGGCCCCCCAGGCGCCCCTTAAGCCCACTGCAAGCGAACAGCAGCTCGGAACTAAAGTGTCAGGTACCGCCTCGACAAGCATAATCATAATAAAATCAAAATAATAACACTGCCCAATGAATAAAACTCGCTATTATGGCCCACAGACGTATTAACATGTGTCCACATAAAACTGGGGTACAACAATATCTGTAGCCCAAGCTGCCCCGGGGGCACAAGCAAGCGCGAAGCAACGAATAAGTGCTCCTCGGCACCCCCGGACCCCCACAACCCCCCACCCCAGATCTCACACCACCCCATGAACATAAACACTCCAGAGATTGACATTGTCCAAAGTCGCAACATCACAAGTCTCTTTAAAATTCCGCCCAACGGGAAACTCCCAACTAAAATTTTCTCCCCAATCTAAAATAAACCCCTCCATCCAAAAACAAAAATACAACACAATCTTTCTCTAAACTACCTTTACACCCCCTTAAAACTCTCCCCCCACCACATTATATCATCCCATCCCCCCCTAACTTTATCCAACCTAATATAAATAAAATTTAATAAAAACCATACTCCTCCCTTCCCCTACACTCTTAATTATCCCCCCCAATTTATATACCCCTCATATACCTTACTATATATTATATCCCTTCTTACCTTTAAACCCTATCATTTAATTCTTCCCTCCATCACCAATAAACTCCTTCAAAAATCACCTTAACAATTCAAAACACCTAAACTTAAAAAAATACTACTATAACCAACTATTTCCACAACTCTCTCCTTTAATAATATCAACCCAAATATCAAAATAAACTTCTCCCCACTAAAACACCCACATACCAATCATAACCCTACCCTTACCACCCATAAATACCATCATCAAATCATAAACCCCCACCACACCACCCCCACCCCCCCACCAACCCCACACCACACCCCCACCCCCCCAACCCCCTGTCCAACCACAACCAACCACACCCAACACCCCACAACCAACCACCCACACCCAACCCCACACCCAACACCCCCCAACACCCCCACCCACCCCACCCCCACCCAACACCCCCACCCCACCCCCCCCACCCCCACCCCCACCAAACCCCCCCCAACACAACCACACCACCCACCCACCCCCACAACCCACACCCCCCCCACCAAACACACCACACCCCAAACCCCCCCACAACACCCAACCACCAACACCACTCACCCCCCCACCCCCACCACCCCACCCCACCACCAACACCCCACACCCCCCCACCACCACAAACCCACCCCACCACCACCATCCAATACCTACAACAAACCCTCCCACAACCCCACAACAACACCCAACAAACATAATACAATAATACCCACTCACAAAACACCAATCCAAAAACTCTCAAATCCACCCCAATAACAAACTTATCCCAAAACCCTACAAAAAACAAAAAACAAAAAAGAGTCCTGAGAGTAATTATTTGACTTTTTAGGGCTGAGAGAGGACATTTTAAATATTTTTTTCCGACATAGTTTTTGAACATATTGTATTGAGAAACCTGAGTTTTGATTCTCCACAGTGTTTTTGTTATTTTATTATCTGTCCTTTGTAATAAGTTTTTATTTTTGTATTATTCTAGACTGAAGGTTTTATAATAATAACGCCTGTCATTCTTAATTAAAGCCACAATGTCAGCTCACAATTCTTTTGGAATTATGTTACTATGTTTCGAGATAATCATTCTGTAGACATGATTTCAGAAAACTTCAGGTTTTGGAGGGTGTTCTCCAAGTCGGCCGTAGTTTACAGGTATGTTTTACCAGTGTGAGTCCGCCTTTTATGCGATAATTGGGTAAAAATCCCGTTCAACTACCCTTTCTAAGGGATCAAAACAGGTGATATAGACAATAAAGTAACAAAGACCTAACACTTTGTTCTCAGTTGCGCAATCATATGTCTTGACAAGAGCGAGGCGGAGGAGTGTTTTTTGCTTCAGCCATGTGTAGTGGATGTCTACGGTGATACCTCACGCTAGCTCACACCCCAGCTTACACTCAGAAAACTTTAGTGTCATTCCATAACTTCAGTTATGGCAACTTTTTGAAACCAGTTGCTAGACAAACCTTTCTTTCACAGCGACCGAGAGCCGGTAACAGGCTAACAAGCAACAACACAAACCCAAACACTAAGCGTCATGGATTGTGGGGCGGGGGCGACAACAATAATATGAATAAATACAATGTAAATATTTAACAGCGTTTACGCAAATCAATATGAAACGCTGTAATTTTAAAAAAATCACACTATAGATATGTTGACCAACTTCAGTTGTAGTTCCTGTAAGAAGCGTAAAAACACTACTGTTGAAAAGAGACTGGTTTGTCTAGCGTGAAATGCCGAAATGACAAGCTTCAGAAGGAAAGCCTAAGTTGCAAAAAAGTTGCTATGAATTGACAAGACTTAAGTTATCTGAGTGTATAGCTGGTTGAACAAGTTATCGCCGAAGACACATCCACTTTGACTTACCACTTGATGCCAAACACACGGCTGATGCCAACTCTCCTCCTTCCGCCACTCTCTTGCCAAGACTGATGTAGAAAGCGCAACAAAGAACCAACTTTCCGGCACTTTGCTATTTCATTTTGTAATCCACCCCTGTTTTATGATTCCCTATAAAGGGCAGTGAAGGGGTTTTTTACCATTATCGCATAATAGGCCCGACACCCCAGGTAAAACATACCAGTAAAACCTAACGCCGACTTGAGAACCACCCTCCAAAAACCTGAAGTTTTCCTGAAATTCAATGTCTAGCAGAATGATTATCACGAAACATAGAAACATAATGCATAAGAATTTGAGAGCTGACATTGTGGCTTTAAAATAAGAATGCAGCGTATTATTATACAACCTTCAGTAAGAATACTATCAAAAATAAACAACTTCACAAAGGACAGATTAATAAAATAACCAAAAACAATGTGAGACAACACATGTTCTCATACAATAATCAAAAACTATGTGGAAAAAAATATTTAAAAAGTCCCTCTCACCCATAAAAAGTCAAATAATTACTCACAGGACTCTTTTTTTTGTTTTTTGTTTTTTCAAGTAAGCAACATTTTAAAAAACACAACTGTTGTGGATTGTTCTGTTGGATTTGTCACTAACAATTCACTTTAGTGCATGCAATGTCAATGCAAACAAAAAATGTAGGTACCTGAGCATTTAATCTTGATTTTGTGTCCTTTGGGAGAAGAGACACTAAAACCGGATAGACGGGAAGACAAACAATACCCTCACATGCAACAAGCTGGGGATGGTTCTGTCCGCAATCGTACATGACCCCGTTATGGCTGCGCGGCTCGGCTGAGCTGTTGTCAAAGCGCCACAGATTCATCCCGAGGTCAAACGGAGGAATCGAATCGTTCGATGTATGTACAGTAGCAAACATCCCGCGGTCACACAATTCACAGAAATTACATTTTCAAGAAAAAGTTGGAATTCGCGACCACAGAAAATTTTTCATCCCAGTTTACCCTTATCGCATTTCATTGGTCAGAGAATTTACAATAAGAGAATTGTCAGCAAAAAGAAAACATGACGTGTCCGCTTTCCCGAGACCTCGAGGTAAAATGCACAACAGCGCTCCCAGCACTGAAAGTAGAAGTGGATGAGGGAATCTTTCTGGCTTCAATGGTTAAAGACGTTCAACGTCAGTTTATGACACATTGAATTGTATGACATATTGCATTAAGTGTGAGTGTGAAATCTAACAACTTAAAAAAACAATTTTTTTTTTGTTTTTTTTTTTTAACTTAGTTATTTATTTTTTTTATTTTTTATGATTTTTTATTTTTTTTATCTTTTTATTTTATTTGTGACGTTTATTAAGATGATTAAAAATGATGATTCGACGGACATAAAGAAAGATAAAAAAAGTAGGCGATTAATTCGCGATTAACCATGACCTTCAAGCGCATAATCCTAATTAAAAAATAAATAATTGTTGGTCAGAGATTGATAAAGACATACAGATAAAAAGATATAGACGCATATGCAAATATTGTTTTACATTATAAACTAAAAAGCTCAATGAACCCAATCCGCTACTTCATTGCTATACTGATGTTTTTTTTCCCAGTGCACAAATTATTTTTAGCCCTGGATCACTAAAGTGGTCTCTGAGTCTGCGCCCGAGTCTGAATCTTATCCAGAGCTGAATCACATACAACTGAGTTTGCTTCTTCCAGTCTTGTGTATAATAGCCTCCTTTGAGACAAACCTTTTGTCCTCTGTGTTTCAGTCTGATCAGGGTTGTGTTCCTCTTGTTACGTCTGATCATGGGTTTGGTTCCTCTGTTTTTCAGTCTGACATGGGTTTTGTTCCTCTTGTTTCAGTCTGATCATCGGGTTTGGTTCCTCAGTGTTACATCTGAATCATCTGGTTTTGTTCCTCTGTGTTTCAGTCTGATCATGGTTTTGTTTCCTCTGTGTTTCAGTCTGATCAATGGGTTTTTAGGATCCACTGTGTTTCAGTCTGATCATGGGTTTGGTTCCTCTGTGTTTCAGGTCTGATCATGGTGTTTTGGTCCTCTGTGTTTCAGTCTGATCATGGTTAGGTTCCTCTGTGTTTTCAGTCGTTGATCATGGGTTGGTTCCTCTGTGTTTTCAGTCTGATCATGGGTTTTTGTTCCTCTGTGTTTCAGTCTGATCATGGGTTTTGGTTCCTCTGTGTTTCAGTCTGATCATGGGTTTTGGTTTCCTCTGTGTTTCAGTCTGTCCAAGGGTTTGGTTCCTCTGTGGTTTCATCTGATCATGGTTTGGTTCCTCTGTGTTTCAGTCTGATCATGGGTTTGGTTTCCTCTGTGTTTCAGTCTGAATGTGGGTTTTGTTCCCTGTGTTTCAGTCTGATCATAGGTTTGGTTCCTCTGTGTTTCAGTCTGATGTGGGTTTTGTTCCTCTGTGTTTTCAGTCTGATTTGAGGTTTTGTTCCTCTGTGTTTCAGTCTGATTGTGGGTTTTGTTCCTCTGTGTTTCAGTCTATCATGGGTTTGTGCCAAAGGCCAAAGAAAGAATCTTCTGAAGAGGAAGGCAGAAGAGGGTCGTTCCTCACTGCGCTTCAGCGAAAGTCCCTGATGGAGAGAGTTACCTTCTCCTGAGAGACAGAAACCAACCATCACCGGTCTGTTCACGTCAGGTCTCAGTAGCGAGACGTGGTTATGTATCTGTGCCAAAGGCCAGCAGTCGGTATCACATGTCCCTCAGGGACTGAGAAAAGTAAAGATGATAAAAGGAAGAGTAATTGATTATCTTTACAAAAAACAAACATTTGAACTACTACAAAACTCACTGCTATTACTACTACTATAACCTGCTACTAATACTACTATTACCTGAATTATTGCCCACGAAACAAAACGCACACAGGCCGTGAAGGTGCAGAAGGTAATGTATGATGAGGGACCAACTAATTTACATTTTCAAAGTTAAAGTTCAACATTTGTCATTAAAGAATAAGTGCTAAATACTTAAAAGTAAAAGTCGTACTTAAATAAAGCAGTGGAAATAGTTTTTTATTCAAAATACTTCTAGAAACTAATGACTGCAATAAACCGGCTCTTGTGTCGCAGGTTATCCGAGATAAAACCGTCGACCTTTCACCAAAAGCGATCTGGATCAAATACCTTTTCATGAAATTAATACGAACTTCCAGCTTAGTGGAGCAGGACAACCGTACGGCAGAATCCCCTGCTTTATCATTATTCCCCCAAACATTCCCAAAGACAGCCTCAGAAGTACTACAGGACAAGAGCGAGGTGAGATGATAACGGCATCAGTTAGGCTGATGTACACACCTAAAGTGGCCTAGGGGCTGTGTGACCCGCGGCAAACTGGCTTTCAGCTCTGTTGCTGGCAGTAACAGGGGACTCGTCCTGGTGGCGAAGAAAGAAAGTAGACATGTGTAACATATTGTGTTTCTATTTCCAGAACAAAGTCCTTACATCGAATACAACAGAACAAACTCATGTACAGTCACCACAAGTAAGTTCCTCTTCCTCCACATGCAACGAGATGACATACCATGAGGATCCTGAGGCCCCTGAGGAGCTCCCTGGGTCTCACGGGGCTCCTTAGGCTCACAAGGATGCTTCTGAGCGAGAGCCCCTGAGGATGCACCCAGGCTCAGAGTGTGTGATTGACAGTGTTGTTTGTGTGTGTGTGTGTGTGGGTGTGGGTGTTTGTGTTTGTTTTGTGTAGGAACCGTCAGAGGCTTCTGAGCTTTTGTGCAGATCAGGTGAGTGGCTTCCCTCTGCTGGTCACGTTAGTAACTACATCAGGGAGTCCAAAACAGAGATGATAA